AAAATTAACCATATGGACAGCATTAGTTCACAAAGCATTCAGATTCAAAGTGGAGTAATTTTTCTCAAAATGAAGTCCATAGCAGGACTCTGTGAGGGAAGCAAGAGACAGAAGATGCAGTCAGACCTTTTTGGAACCTGATATCAAATTGTTACTAATCATGAGAACATACCAGTCACACCAATATCTTTTCCCCAATTATCTTTCTCCTCTCCACCTGTCCTCTGTTCCCACTCACCACTTATGAGAGATCAGAGAGCAAGAAAGAACCAGCTTATTTATACAATCTGTGAAACAAAGAAAATATTTTGCATGCTCTCTCTTCCAAAAGTAGTAAAATTACTATACTTTGTTTTCTTATTAGGTGACAAAGACACAGAGAAGCCCCTAGGAGAATGTCCAAATGAAAAACATGAGAACAATAATATGTTAAAGTAATTATAAATCTAAGTTTCAAACTTAAGCTAGTGAATACAATAGTCTTCTTTAGATTATAGGCATAAATAAGTGCTGAATGTGATCAAAATTATTTTGCTTGCTCAACTTTTATACTCCCATACAAACTCTATCAATAAAAAATTATTAGCACCTAAGATGGGAAAGCTGGAACATTTTCCAGCTCCTCCTGAATCTAGTATTACAGGTAGAATTTTATTACAAGTAATATGAATTCTGTGCATTTCAGAAATACATATAAAATGTAACAGTAAGAACATATTTCAAAGTGACTTGTTACAATGGATTTTCTCTATTTGTTGGGCAAAAAGCCACATAAGAAGTGACAAGTTGACCCACTTAATGTCTCTAAGTACTCAAGGTTGTATATTGCCTCTCTGTTTCATATCTTGTTTATATGTTTACAAAAGCTGCCATTTCACAAGAAATAGTTACCAAATACAAGTAAGTTCACTGTACTATTCATAATCTTTCAACTGGGCAACACTGACAGTAAAGTCTATGTATTGTCCTTCATAGATAAAAATGATAAATTAATACACCGTTTTGATAGTTACACCTCAGATATATTGCAGATTAGGTTCCAGCCACCAGAATAAAGCAAATATCGCAATCAAGCGAATTAAATGAATTTTTTGGCTTTCCAGTGCATATAAAAGTTATGTTTATACTATATTGTCTACTATTAAGTGTACAGTAGTATCTAAAAAGAAAAAAATGTATATGCTTTAATTAAAAATATTTATTGAAGGGTGCCTGGATGGTTCAGTCAGTTGAGCATCCAACTCTTGATTCTGGCTCAGGTCATGATCCCAAAGTGGTGGCAATGAGCCCTGTGTCAGGCTCTGTGCTCAATGTGGAGCCTGCTTAAGATTCTCTCCCTCTGGGATGATTTCTTACTGAAGATGTCTGTGGCTATGCAACCATTTCCCCCACTATATGGAGAAAGCCTGTATACTGTGAGAAGACAACATACCAATATAAACAGAACCAAGTGATGGAAGAGAGATGGGCTGGAGAGCTAGAGCAAGAAAAAATATTACCCTTTGAATCTATATGTTTTTAAAGATAACCACACCCTCTTGGAATTCTTAGTTACATATATGATTCAATAAATTCCCATTTTTAAACTAAAAAAAAAAAAAAAAAAGATTCTCTCCCTCTGCCCCTCTTCCCTCCTTGTGCACGGGCTCACTCTCTCTCTTTCTAAAATAAAGAAAGTAAATTTTTAAATAAAAATATTTCTAAGAGATGCTAACCATCATCTGAGCTCTCAGCTAGTGAATCTTTTTGGTGGTAGAGGGTCTTGCCTTGATGTTAATAGCTACTGACTACTCAGGATGGTTGTTGCTGAACATGGGGGTGGCTATGGCAATTTCTTACAATAAAACAACAATGAGTTTGCCACACTGATTGACTATTCCTTTCACAAGTGATTTCTCTGCTCCATGTGATGCTGGTTTTTTTAATGTTTATTATTTGTTTATTTTTGAGAGACAGAGAGATAGAGCACGCACAAGTCGGGGAAGGGCAGAAAAAAAGAGAGAGACACAGAATCTGAAGCAGGCTCCAGGCTCTGAGCTGTCAGTACAGAGCCCGATGCAGGGCTCGGACTCACAAACAATAAGATCATGACCTGGCCTGAGCTGAAGTTGGATGCTTAACCAACTGAGGCACCCAGGACTTCTTTGAAAACCAGAGTCCATCCTCTCAAACCCTGCTACAGCTTTAACAACCAAGTTTATGGAATATTCTAAATCCTTTGTTTTCATTTCAGCAATCTTCACAGCATTCTTCACCAGGAGTAGATTCCATCTCAAGAAACCACTTTTCTTTGCTCATCCATAAGAAGCAACTCTCATCCATTATAGTTTATCATGAGATTGCAACTATTCAGTCATGTCTTCAGACTCCACTTGCAATTCTAGTTCGCTTGCTATTTCCATCACATCTCTAGTTACTTCCTCTACTCAAAGTCTTGAATCCTTCAAAGTCATCCATGAGGGTTGGAATCAATTTATTCCAGATTCCTGTTCATGAAAACATTTTGACCTCTTCCCATGAATCTTCAGTGTTATTCATGGTACCCAGGATGGTACTTTCCAGAAAGTTTTCAATTAAGTTTGTGCTGATACCTCAGAGGACTGTTATCTACAGCAGGGATCACCTTATAAAATATATTTCTTAAATAGCAAGACTTGAAAGTTGAAAAGACTTTTTGATCCATAGGCTGCACATTGGATATTATGTTAGCAGGCATGAAAACATTAATTTCACTGTACATCTGCAACAGAGATCTTAGGCGACCAGGTCCGTTGTCAGTGAGCAGTCATATTTTCAAAAGTTCCTTTGTTTCTGAGCAGTAGGTCCTAACAGGGGACTTAAAATATTCAGTACACCATGTTGTAAATAGATATGCTGTCATCCGGGCATTGCTGTTCCAGTTATAGAACATAGGCAGAGGAGACTTAGCATTCTTACGGGCCCTTGGATTCTCAGAATGGTAAATGAGCACTGGTTTCAACTTCAAGCCACCAGCTACAGTAACATCTTTTATATTCACTTTTTTAGAGGGGAGAGAAAGTGCACGTGCATGCATGAGTGAGAGAGAGGGGTGGAAGGTGAGACACACACACACACACACACACACACAGACAGACAGAAAGAGAGACAGAGAGACAGAGAGAGAGAGAGAGAGAGAGAGAGAATCTTAAGTAGACTTCATGCTCAGTAAAGATACTGACACGGGGCTTGATCCCACAAACTTGGGATCATGACTGGAGCCAAAATCAAGAGTCAGATGCTCACCTAGCTGCCCGAGCTACCCAGGCACCCCTGCAATAACTTCTAACAAGACAGTCAACCTGTCCTTTGAACCTTTGAAGCCAGGCATTTACTTTTCCTCTCTAGCTATGAAAGACCTAAATGTCTCTTCCAATAGAAGTCTGTTCCATCTACATTGAAAAATCTGTTGTTTAGTGTAGTAGCCACCTTCAGAAGCTAGATCTTCTGGATAACTTGCTGCAGCTTCTATATCAGCACTTGCTTCACCTTGCACTTTTATGTCATGATGAGGACTTCTTTCCTTAAACCTCATGAAGAAGCTCTGCTAGCTTCAAACTTTTCTCTGGAAACTTCCTCACCTCTCTCAGCCTTCACAGAATTGAAGACAGTTAGGGCCTTGCTCTGAATTAGGTGTCGGATTAGGGAATGCTGTGGCTGGCTTGAGCTTTTCAGACCACTAAATCTTTCTCCAAATCTGCAATGAGGCTGTTTTGCTTTCTAATCATTCATGTGTTCACTGGAGTAGCATTTCTAATTTCCTTCAAGAAGTTTTCCTTTGCAGTCACTACTTGGCTAACTGTTCAGCACAAGAGGTCTAGCTTTCAGCTTATCTTGGCTTTTGACATGCTTTCCCCACTAAGCTGAATCATTTCCAGTTTTTGATTTAAAGTGAGAAATGTGCAACTCTTCCTTTCACTTGAACACTTAGAGGCCATCACAGAGTTATTAGTTGACCTAACTGCAATATTGTTGTGTCTCAGGGGATAAGGGAGCTTGAGGAGAAGGAGAGATGGGAAATGGCTGGTCAGTGGAGCAGAACACACGTAACATTTACGGATTAAGTTAACTATCTTACACAGTCATGTTTCATGGTACCCCAAGACAATTATAGTGGTAACATCAAAGATTACTGATTATAGATACTATATAACAATAATGAAAAAGTATGCATTTTTCACAATTACCAAAATATGACAGAGAGACACAAAATTAGTAAATGCTGTTGGAAAATGGTGCTGATGGACTTGCTCAATTCAGGATTCCACAAACCTTCAATTTGTAAAAAATGCAGTATCTGCAAAATGCAATAAAGCAAAGTGGAATGAAATGACGTATGCCCGGTTTAATCTATGTGTGGCTTCATTTATGTCTTCAGTGGTAGTGATTATTTTGCATTAAGCTATAAGTTCTCCCTGAGAGCAACAGAATCTTCTGAAATACAGTTGGCTGGGGCTAGGGGTGCAATGGTGGTACACTTCGTCAATCCTTATAAGGTCTTATTAATGGATACCCTAAGGAAATGATTCACTGACCACAGAAAAAATGGAGCCAATAATCTTCACCGACTGTTGTTCCCTAGCATATTAACATATGATATTATATCCCTAAGCCCTCAACAGATACATTACCTAGCTGGACATTTCCTTTTGGTCAACAAATTAGCTATAGGATTTACAAAATTTGAACCATCAGCAGTTCTATATACGCCAAATTAATCACAGCAGGAACAGTTAAAGCTGTTCAGTGATATACAAACCTAAAACTCTAATGAAGTATGCTCTTCCAGATGGGAAGAAACACACACACATACACACACACACTGTCCTCAGCAGCCAGTTTCACCACATTTTTCAGGATGTATTAAAGTAATATCATTTTAGGACTTCCCAAACTCACAATATCTTCAAAGCTACAATAAGTGAAGATAAAGACTAAATGAGAGAGAAGAATTAGCCCACCGAACTCACAGAGATGATTACCTGGTAGTCTGGTTTTGCAAAATAATTCAAAGAAGAGATGTGATCCAAAAAGATGCTGAATTCTGGAGGGAGATGTTTCAACATAAGCCTGTGGTCATACCTCTCCTTAATAGAGCCTACTTGCTCCTGGGAAGTAAAGAGAACAGGAAACTAAAGTCAATTTCTCTTGGCAGCTACACATTAACAGCCTCTCAGTAATAGTCTCAGGGGTATGTACTAGGGAATGAGATAGTGGGTAATTAAGTATAAAGCAAGAATTGAGCTCTTACTAATAGCTTAATACACACTGCCTTATGGGGTGAGGGGGAAATAACCAAAAGGGTAGCAGACTTCTTTATTAGTGAACTGACAGTTCGCCAAAAGAAAGAGTTGATCTTAAATCCAGTCTACTTTTCTTTATCAACATATAGGTTCACAGTTTTCAAATCAAACAATATAATGTAACAATTAAAATTTGAAAGCTTACTTGACTTATAAAAATGAAAAAGGGGGAAGCAGTGAAAAGAAAAGCTAAGAAGGACAGCTAGAAATCAAATCAGAAGTGATGATTTAATAGATACCCAAATGAGTATTTTCCATGTACACAGGAAAAAAATCATAACATTAATTAGATCTTTAATATCAGCTTAATTTTAATTTTTATATGTAAGTATGTTCTCATCAATTACGCCTACTGTGGAGAAATTTTTATTCCTTCCCCTACCAAAACTGGTATTTCCATTTCCATTTCCATTTCCAAAATTACCTTGTCCTTTATTTTTCTCCAAGGCAGCTGACCAACCACAAACTCCACCAACATGTAGAATAAGGACCAAAGGTCATCATGTCTTCCCATTTCCTTCATAAGCCAAACAGAATTCAGTCACATTACATTACCACTCCTTGTGAGTACATTACATTGTCTAAGGCCTAACCACTCTGTTTCATTTTATTAGGCTTAAAAATTTTAATGTATTTCCCATAAAATCTTCTGGTAAATATATCTACACAGCTATATAACAATTTACATAACAGAAATAGATATACTGAAATACTTTTTGGTACAAAGAACACCCCAAAACCCAGAAATGCTGGAAATATAATTAACAGCCCATTAATTAATAAATGAGTTCTTTAAGAAGGGAAGGTGAAGAGCAAATTAGCATTTAGTGGGTATGGGGTTTCAATGTTGCAAAATGAAAACGTTCTAGAACTTTATTGCACACTAATGTGAATATACTTAACACTGCTGAATCATCCTTTAAAAATGGTTAATATGCTACATTGGTGAGCATAGCATAACAGCAAATTGTTGAATCACTATGTTGTACACCTGAAACTAATGTAACATTATATTTCAACTATACTCAAATAAAAAAAATGGTTAACATGGTAAATTTAATGTGGTATGTTCTTTACCATAATAATTTAAAAAAATGAATTAAAGCAAATCCTAGAAGCCAAAATTAAAAGAAAGCTGGAAATAAGAGAAGCAAGCTGATGCTGAAACTGTGTTTGGGTACACGTGCTACAGGTTTTATCAACCAGGGTTTTAACAATCAGGAAGGGGGCAGGTATAAAAGTACTGAGCCTACACGACACAGGAGCTATAACTAAGACACTGTCTCCTAGGCCCTCACCGTATAGCTTTGACCCTCAAAGGGCTATTTTTAGTGCAATATTTGAACTTTTTACAGCAATACCTTTTTTTCCTGTAAAGCTTAACCACTAACATATCAAAGGGATCAAGTTAGTGGTTAAAAAAACTACCCTGAAAATTTGTTACTATAGGCCTGCCCCTCACTCAGATTTGGGGTTTAAATTTATACCACTTGTGTAATCTGGAAAACCAAGTCCAGAAATTAAGTGTTTTCTGGGTGATCCCACTCTGCAGTAATGACAGATGAAAATGAAAATCCTCTCAGGATTAAAGACCCCATATATTCAGTCCTATAGAAAAGTCCCACAAAAAATAAGCTCATTAATCACAAGTATAAAATACATTAGGAAGCAGGCTATCATAAGCTAACGACAAGAGAAATTACAGGGCAGAATGAGATATCCGAGAATTTCAGATATGGAATTATAGGATACAGAATATGAAATAAGAATGTTTAGGAGGGGCTAGGTGGGTTAGTCAGTGAAGTGTCCTATTTCAGCTCAGGTCATGATTTCACAATTTGTTGGTTCGAACCCCATGTAGGGCTATGTGCTGACAGCTCAGAGCCTGGAGCCTGCTTTGGATTCTGTGTCTCCCTCTCTCTCTGTCCCTCCCTCTCTCATGCTCTGTCTCTATCTCTCAAGAATAAATAACCATTAAAAAAAAATTTTAAAGAATGTTTAAAATGTTTAAGCAAAAAAAAAAAAGTGGAATAAGAGTCAATAGAAAGGAACCATGTCCTACCCCAAACTATGGAAAGACCAATTAGATTTGAAAAAGGACCAAAAAGAACATCTAGAAATTAAGATCTCAAGGGATAGGTTAAAAAGCTGATCAAAATCAGCAGAAAAAAATTATCTAGAAATGAAATTATCTAGAAATGCAACACAGAGACACAGAGAGATATAGAGGGCAGGACAAGAAGATCTAACAAACATATCCATTTGAGATATGAAAAAAGGTATAGAAAGAAAGGGGCTGTGTGCTGAGAGCAGCAAGCCCAACGTGAGGCTTGAACTTGTGACCATGAGATCATGATCTGAGCTGAAGTCGGATGTTCAACTGACAGAGACACCCAGACGCCCTGCAAAGAGAATAATTATTTAAAAATCCACACATAGACACATAAGAATATATCTGTAGAACAGCAAAGACCAAGAGAAGATATCTAAAATAGTCAAAGAAAAATGACCAATTAAATACAAAGTAACAGCAATTAAATGGACAAAGATCTCCTCAACAGCAACCACAGAAACAGAAGACAGTAAAATAATTTCTTCAAATTACTGAGATACTACAAATATTAATAAAGAATTGAAATGTAGAACAATGTAATGAATTCAGAGTTCAAGTATTCTGAAAAGTCATATATTGTCTGAGAATTATTCATGTTAAAAGTTTAAGATCAAAGTACCAAAAAGCCAAAAAAGAGGCAAAAAAAAAACCAAGGAATGGAGTGCATTGTGCTTAGAAATTATCAAGGTGACAGAACAGGGAAGAAAGTTTATGAGAATTATCTGAGCAATCTTTTAAAATTAGACCAGCATCTCTGAAAGTTCCACTAGTTGCACTCCTGCATCACCACATCAACTAACAACCTCTGTGAAGCTCTGTAAAGCATTCTACATCTCAGGTGTCTTGGGAGCAGAAAAGAAGATTAAGAACTGCTGATACATATAATCAAATTCCTCTACCAAGGTCAGGTGAATATCAAATAACATGCAGGTTAACAGAGTTAATTGTTAGAGCACTCTACGCTGGGAAAGCTTTTAAAAGACATTTGTACAAATTTTAAAAAGTAAAAATACATAATCTCTTTCTACTAGCCTCTTTGGAAATGGTTATACAGTTATAATGATCTCTGGAAATGTTTATGCTTTTCTCAGAAAGAATGTCCTATCTCAAAGACTCCAATGTTGACCAAATTTTTACACAGCATTAATTAGAAACCCTAGTAATTCTAAAGGTTTTTAGGAATATATCTTTTCATGGCAGAATAACTGACTAGATGCCATATTAATACAACACTAAATCAAAGTAAATTAGCTGAAATCTTGGCAGGCTGCTACATTATGCACTGATAGAAATACTTTTCCTACTTTCAGTTTATAATCATATTATAAGAAACCAAATTAAATTAACTAGAGCACAGCATATAAGACCACAGCATACTGTTCCTACTATAGTGCCTACAAATTTTCATTAAGGCAATTTTGGCTTCAGAGAACAAGAATAAAGTAATAAAAGATCAAGAAAATATTTTTTAATGTTTATTTTTGAGACACAGAGAGACAGAGCATGAGTGGGAGAGGGGCAGAGATACAGAGACAGAATCCAAAGCAGGCTCCAGGCTCTGAGCTGTCAGCACAGAGCCTGATGTGGGGCTCGACCTCACAAACTGTAAAATCATGACTTGAGCCGAAGTCAGACGCTTTACTGACTAATCCACCCAAGCACCCCAAAAGATTTCTTTTTTATCAAGGAATCACTTGTTAAATGTCTCAGCTCCATCCAGACAAGTTCAAGGATTGAGAATCCATAAAATACTCACCTTTCCTACTCATAATTAAGGTTCGGAATAAGAAAAAAATCAGAAGAACAAAAGGAGTAAAGTAAAAAAGAGACTTTAAAAATTTAATTCAAAAGGTATAATTTACTAAGATGAAAATTTTAACGTTATCTGTGTTTGAGATCTTCATGAAAAGAAATGGTTTAATGGAGAGGGGATATCACAGATTAGATGCATACTGCAGATAAAATGCTGACTCCTATATTTTATTAGGTACTGATAGTATGATTCCCAAATAACTTAAGATTAGAACACAGATAATTTATTTCTTCAAAATTCTAGATTCAATTTGTTAATACTTATACCTAATTATGGACACAAGATTTCCTACACACACACAGACACACACAGAGCTATTATCTTTTCCGACAAATCCAATTTTATTTTTATGTAGCTGCGATCATCTGTGATCTACAAACTACCATACATTAGCATTACTAATACCTTACCCTCTGCTTCCAAGTACCTTCCACACTTGAGTACTCTAATGTAAAAAAGTCAATCTGTTCAAGCCATCAGCATGGTTACGCAGATATGACTCTAAGTTCAGCTACTTACCCTGTTTCGGTGAGCATTGATTGATGCATAACGAACTGTCCCTCGAAAGCCCGCCACAGTTCGAGGCTACAACAAAATGAAGCAAAAAATAATAGAATGAGCTTCAAATAGCAAAAGACTCACAAACTTGAGCACATGAAGTAAATGTGAGAAACGCGCATTACTGTCACGTAATTATTAAAATACAAATAATATTAAAATACTACTTAAATTTCGAATTTATATGAAATTACAGCAAATTAGAAAATATCTCTAATATCATGTTAAAAACTAACATTTTAATGATCAGTGAATCCAATTATTTTTCTACCTACATTTTTTTTAAAAAGTGGCATTTACGATAAATAAATTCTGTACATTAGAAAACACTTGGGGCACCTCGGTGGCTCAGCTGGTTAAGTGTTCGAATCTTGATTTTGGCTCAGGTCAGAATCTCACAGTTTGTGAGATTAAGCGCCGAATCAGACTATGCTGACAACACAGAGCTTGCTTGGGATTTTCTCTCTCCCACTCTCTCTGCCCCTTCTCTGCTTGTGCTCGCGCTCTCTCTCTCTCTCTTTCTCAAAATAAGTAAATATTTTTTAAATATAAAAAAGAAAGAAAACACTAAATGCTATCACATATCCAGAATCATGCCAAGCATTATAGTATATACACTAATATTCAGGCTCTGGTTACATTTAAGTACAGTAAGACCACAAGGAATCTCTAAGTAACGATGCCAACCTCTTCATGTCTTCTCTATTTCATTCAAACTCAACTCAAAAATGATGGCAACTTATATCTCTCCCTATATATGTAATTCATATATTAACAAATCAAGTTACTGGGTAATTATTACATGCTAGATACTAGGAATAAAGCCAAACATAAATAATACATCATCGCAGTTCTCGGAGAGCTCAACTTACAATACTAAGTCCAAATTCTTATTTGGCCTACAAGATTTCCACGATTTGGCATTGGCCCCATTCCAAAATGGATTTAGTTATGGTTTATACTACGACCAACTGTGTTTCTAGCTTCTTCTGCTATTCATTCCAGCTGGAAAGCCATCTCTTCACATGCCTCCAATGGTTAGCTCTTCTATTCCACATTAGGCTCTCTGCTGAAATGTTATCTCCTCAGAGAAGTACCCCTTAATCATCCTACTCTAAAATACTACCCCTCCTCCTCCTCCTCCTTCAGTGCCACTCCACCCTTTTTTACTCTGCTTTATTTTTTTAACATAATACCTTTCAATAGCTAAAATTAATTTTATTTATATTTTTACTTATTTGTTCACTGGTGTCTTCTTCTACTGGAATATAAACTCTGTGATGGCAAGGTCTTATCTTAGTCTTGCTCAGTCACAGAAACAGGCTCTGAGAGGTAACTAAACTGATCTTGAGTACACAGAATTAGTAAGTGATAAAAGCAGACATCAAACAAGGTCTTTTGATTTGAAATCATGCATTGTTTCCACTTTATTGCTTCACAAGGATCAAATCAATACCCTAAAGACTCATGGATGGCAACATAACTCAATATGAAAACTTAACAAACCTGAAAATGTTCACAGCCAATAATTTTCATTAGTAGACTTTTCTTTCCCAGTAACTTCAAATTATCCTCAATTAAGATGTACTACTTTTACAGAAAAAGATTATAATAAATGTAATTTTTAAAATCTTTAGTTACTAGAATCATTCTGGTCATATGCTAAAAGATACTCATTCTACATGCTCTTCCTTCTTTTATTCATTTTTGTAATCTGTTCAAATTAGTTTTCTATTTATTCCTTCTTTCATGAAATACTGTCTTCCCTTTTATAAAAGTTTCATTTTTTTAAATGTTTACTTATTTATCTTCAAGAGAGAGCGAGCTAGGGAGGGGCAGAGAGAGAGAGAGGGAGACACAAAACCTGAAGCAGGCTCCAGGCTCTGAGCTGTCAGCACAAAGCCCGATGTGGGGCTCGAACTAATGAACAGCTAGATCATGACCTGAAATGAAGCTGGACACTCAACTGACTGAGCCACCCAGGCACCCCTTACTTCATTTTTAAGTAAACTCTGTACCCAACATAGAGTTTGAACTCACAACCTTGAGATCAAGAGTCACATGCTAAGCCAATCAAGCTACCCTCTCTTCCCTTTTTAATTATTTCTTTTTGTTTTTTTTCCTTAAGAACTATTTTAAAAATAAGTCTGTGTATTTAATAACAATTTTGGTAATCAAAAGTTCCTGCAGTATATTCAAGTCTCTTTTCTTTTCTTAGCTGCCATTCATTGACAATTATAGTCAGTAGATCTCAATATTTTCCTAAGACATTCATGCCTGACAGGAATATCTAATACTCTCAATTTGATGGAACTTTGAGATCAAAGATTCCTTTTTTAGACAAAGAATGTGTGGGATTATATATGAAAGCCAACCATCAATCTTTTTCACTAAATAACATTTCACTGGCTGTACTTTTATTCATTACCTGACAAGAGCCTTCACTAACAAAAATGTGTAGCATGTACTTTTGCCCAGTTATTTTCATTCTAGTAACTGTCAGGATAAAAATCTCCAGAGTTATTACCATATTCTGCAGCCCAACACACAGTTAATTGGACACCTAGATGTCCCCCTAATAGACTGTAGGCAAGACAAACCCAGGGAACCCTTTCCAGTTAAGAGCACCCCTGACTTTGCTTCTGCCATGGAAAAGTTGAGAGCTAAAGAGAGATCAGCTGTTTAGAAGGATCCTGATGTGACTCATCAAAGAAATAATGCCAGGTCAAGAAAATTCATCCACTGTTATAAAGCAGAAAAGACAACTCAACCCAGCTGGAGAAAACAACCATATATACAACTAATTCTAATTTAAAGCAGATTATAATGAACATCATTAGTAAAGTACAATAAGCTATGAAAGCCTAGAGTGGTAAGGATTAGTTCCATTTGGTGAGAGGAAAGAAGGAAAAGTCCTGCTGAAGAAAAAAGTCTTTTAAGAACAAGGCAACCTTTAAAGGGGCCTTAAAATAGATAGATGATCTCTTGAAACTTTACTAATTAATGGCAATTTGACAATATCTATCAAAATTACAAATGCACATATTCTCTTTGACAAAGCCATTTCACTTCTGGAAATTTATCTTATAGATATACTTGCATATGTACAAAAATAATGGATGTAACATATTCGTTCATTACATTAATGTTTGTAATAGCGAAAGACTGCAAGTAACCCATATACATAAATAGAGGACTGATTAAATAAATTACAATACATCTTTAAAAGGGAATACACTTAGCAGCTGCAAAAAAAAGAATGAAGAAGCTCTATATCCTGACATGGGAAGATCTCCTAGATAAACTGTGGGGAAAAAAGACAAGTACAAAATATATGGCATGCTACCTTTTGAATCAAAAAGAGAAAAATGAATATACATTCATATTTATTATATATGCAAAAAGAAATTCTGGAAGAATACATTTAGGAAATAATAACAATATAGCTACCTATATTGTTGGTTGGAGAGAGGGATAAGGGCAGTTATAGAAAATGAGTAGATATGGGAGAGCAGGGGGAAAGTAAGAGATTTGTTTCATGGTTTACCTTTTAATCTTTTTTGAGTCAGATTTATTAAGGTATAATTTACACACAGTTAAATTCATACTTTAGGTATACACAGTCCTATGAGTTTTGACAAAGATACACACTCATGTAACTACCACTGCAATCAAGGTACAGAGTATTTCTTTTTTTTTTTTTTTAATATTTTTTTATTTATTTCTAGGAGAGAGAGAGAGACAGCGTGAGCAGGGGACAGAGAGAGAGGGAGATACAGACTCTGAAATTGGCTCCAGGCTCCGAGCTGGCAGTCAGCACAGAGCCCGATGTGGGGCTCGAACCCACGAACCGCGAGATCATGACCTAAGCCAAAGTCGGACGCTTAACTGACTAAGCCACCCAGGCGCCCCGGTACAGAGTATCACCTCAAGAGTTCCCTTAAAGGCTGTAGTCAGTCCCTTCCCCTCCACTCCCAGTCTCAGGCAACCTCTGATTTCTATCCCTCACAAGCATTTAGAATTGTCTTTTTAGGTTAATTGCTGGGTAATCATGTCTTAACCATGGTTTTATTGTGCATTTCTCTGATAACTACTTCTTTGATGAAATGTCTATACAAATCTTTTGCTCATGTTTATTCATCTGTTTTATTACTGAGTTGTGAAAATTGCTTATAGATTCCAGATAGAAGTCCTTCATCAGAAGTGTGTTCTGAAATATTTTTTCCCAGTCTGTCACTTGTCTTTTCACTTGCTTACTAGTGTCTTTCAAAAAAGGGTTTAACTTTGAGGCACCTTGGTGGTTCAACTGGTTAAGTAGCTGACTTCGGCTCAGGTCATGATCTCGTGGTTGATGAGTTCGAGCCCTGGGTCAGGCTCTATGCTGATAGCCCAAAGCTTGGAGCCTGTTTCAGCTTCTGTGTCTCCTTCTCTCTCTCTGCCTCTCCCCTGCTTGTGTTCTGTCTCTCTCACTCTCAAAAATAAATAATAAAACATTTTAAAAAATGGTTTAAATTTGACGAATCTTTATTTTGCACCATACAAATACATTATCTCTTCAAAATTATATTTAAAAACATCTTTTTAAAATATGTAATACTTCATAAATATGTGTGTCATCCTTGCACAGGGGCCATGCTAATCTTCTCTGTAGCATTCCAATTTTAGTACATGTGCTACCAAAGCGAGCACTATTTAAAAACATCTTTAAAGAAAAAAGTGAGAGTGGTTAACAACCTAAGAACATATTTTATTAAAATAAATATCTAGATATTTGGTGAAAGTGAAAATGAAAAAAATTGGACCTTGAAAACCTGAAAAAATAACAACAGGAAGAAGGAAAAACATTTTAAGTAAGAAGAATACTGTAAAAAATGAGAACAAAGTACGGTGTGTGTCAGAGAAAGTGTTTGATATGGCTGGAGCAAATGGTGAGAGAAGATAATGGAAAAGTAGGTTGGAATCAGGTTAAGGATGGCCTCAAATGTCACATTAAGGTGTTTGGTTTATAACATGCAGGCAAGTGGAATTCATAACAAATTTTAAGTAGGGACGGGACACGATTAAGAAAGTTCTTGGGATGCTTACTCTGCTGGAGGTAAAAAGAACAGACTGGAAGGAGGAGGTGGGGAGACCAACAAGGAAACTCTTTTAATAATCCAAACAAAGAAACCACAAAAGTACTACAAATATAGAGCAGTGTGAATGTGAAGGAGGGAATGAATGTCAGAGACAAAATGAGCTCTCAGGAGAATAAGTCTAGAAGGAGAAGGGAAGGAGCCCAGACATGAGCCCAGACCTATTATTGCTAACCAAAGGGAGGGGATCACAGAGGGAGTGAAAAACATGGAGAACTATGTAATGGAGCCCTCAATGGAAGTAAGAAAATAGCTGAAATTGTGGAGTGGTAACAGAGAAAAGGACTTTTAAATTTTTGTTAAGTAGGTCACTGTACCCCAAGGCACTAGAAATTTCAGCTGAATGGCAGGAAGGAAGCAACAGGAGAAAACATGGCAAGAGCTGAGACATGAAGGGCCAATGTGAGATCCAGCTGAAGGAGTGAGGAAATTAAGGCATACTTCAAACCAGGAGGAAACAATAATGAACACAAAGATTCAAATGATTAAGTAAACAAAAGTTCAACTCTGAAGCTATACCGAACAGAGTACTGTAAATATATACAGCTCAGGACTTCTTTGTACCTCAAATTCCTGTTTAATGTAACTAATACATCTTAAAGTTAAATAGTAGAGGTTCTCAAAAGCAACCACATAAACAACTCACTAGTAGTACAACAGAGTAGTATCACCAGGAGTAGCTAGACAAAGACTATATGGTAACTGTACTATTTTACAATAACTCCCTGAATCTGCTCCAAACTCCAAAACAAGTACTGTCAAGGTCTACAGAGAAAGAAGATTTAATACAAAATTTAGAATAGAGGTTATGTTTAGAGCTGCAACGGCCAACAGAATAGCAACCTAAAACTAAACGAAATTTAAGGGGCACTGGGTGGCTCAGTAAGTTAAGTATCTGACTCTTGATTTCAGCTCACACCATGATCCCAGGGTTATGCAATTGAGCCCCGTGTCCAGCTCCTTGTAGAGCATGGAGCCTGCTTAAGATTCTGTCTCCCTTTCCACCCCTCCCCACCCCACTCTCTCCCTTTCTCTCTCAATTAAAAAAAGAGAGAGAGAGAAAATAAGTATATGATATTCAAAATTCAGTCCCTCACTTGCTCTGGCCACATTTCAAGTGCTCAATAGCTCCATGCAGCTAGTGGCTACCATCTTAGTACAGATACAGAATATTTTCATCCTTGCATTTAGACCGTGCTGCTTGAGGGAAAAAAAAGAAAAAGAGATGAGATGTAAGGTGATAATAAAGCTATTTCTTAACCTAGATGAAGGCCACAAATGTTTTAATATTCTTTCTTAAAATTTTTATGGTTTTTTTTTTTACATTCTTCTGGAATACATATAGCAAGACAAAATCAAAATACTGATTTTTGCAGATAACATGACGATATACCTAGAAAATCTAAGTGACTGAACTTAAGTTCCTTAAAAGGATTAAATAAATTAAACAAAACTGTATTATATAAAACAAACCTACAAACACAACTTTTGATTTTATATTAGTGGAACAATATGAGAAAATGATTTCAATCATAATCATGATGCAAAAAGTATGAAATTAACTTTATTTGAGATTTAAAGGAAACTATGAAAATCTTACTGAAATCCTAAAAGGAACTAGCTAGTGATGTGTAAAGGGAAAGTTCATTCCTTACACAGCATGAACTATGTTCACCCACAATAACATTCTCTCAGCTCTCTTCTGTTGCTCTTCCACAGTGCTAACCTGATCCTCACCCAGGTTAAACTCAACTCTCAGGCTAAATTGTACCTCTAAACAAGCAGTTAAAGGTGTCTGGAGAAAAGTAAACAACTGTCCTGACAATATTCCCTTAAAATTACCATAATACTCAAATGAGCTTTCAGCACAGGCTAGCAATCTATTTTGCTGATGCTAGATTCCCTCTCCCCTTCTCCATGGTAACTATTATTTCACTTGTCCTCTTCTCTCTTCAACCTCCGACACCATTCTGCACTATCAGCAAAAGCACTCTCAGTGCCTCTTTCTGCACTGAGAACTTAAACTTCCCACTACCAAACCTAAATGTTTCCCTGTATCTGTGTCCACTTAATTCTGCCTTTTCTCAGTTACAATGGAAAAAGTGTTGAATCCTCTTAAAGAATGGGCTAACCCTATCATTTGTGCCCAGGTTCCTTTCCTTGATGGCTATGCAAGAACATGGCTCTTAGAATTATTCCTCCTCTGTCCTACATTATCATTTTTTTAATGTCTCCTGAAGCATTACCATCAGTACACAAGCATGCTATAATAACTGCCATTAAAAAAAAAAGGAAAAAGGTAATAAACTAAGGAAGGAAGGATTTTACTTCCCTTTCAGCTCCTTCCCTGTTTTAACACTCTCCTTTAAAAAAAAAAAAAAAAAAAAAAACCCAGCTCTTCCCATAAGCGGCCTAAGGTGATCTCTGCAAATGGTTCACTATTCACTTGACCTAGAAAACCCTACACAATCATGCAAATCAAGAGGTACTTTGTGTCTTCGTGTCTACTTTAAGAATACACGTAAAACTGCCCAGGCCAGGAAGGGTATGCTTATCTAAAAAGCCACCAAGTATCTCAAAGACGTCACTTTGCAGAAGCAATGTGTACCATTTCATCACTACACTGGTGGAGTTGGTAGGTATGCCTAGGCCAAACAGTGGGGCTGGACACAGGGTCAGTGGGCCCAAAAAGAGTGCGGAATTTTTACTGCATATGCTTAAAAATGTGGAGAGTAATACTGAACTTAATGGTTTAAATGTAGATTCTCTGGTCACTGAACAAATCCAGGCAAACAAAGCCTCCAAGAGGTGGTGTAGAACTTATAGGGCTCACAGTCCAACTAACCCATACTTGAGCTCTCTCTGCCAGACTGAGATGATCCTTACTGAAAAAGAGCAACTTATTCCTAAACCAGAAAAAAAAGTTGCACAGAAGAAAAAGATTTCCCAGAAGAAAATGAGGAAATAAAAACTTATGGCCCAGGAGTAAATTCTACAAAAAATAAATGCAAATGAAAGTAAAAACAGAAAAAAAATTTTTTTAATCTAGAAAATAAAAAAGTAAAATAAACTCCTCCAGAAAATTGTCTATACTCCCTTTCTCTACTTCTCCCCAACCCTCTCTTTAACCCACTACATAGGTTTCCATTGCTCTACAAAACCATTCTTTTGAAAGTCATAAAAAGCTTTCATCTTGCCAAATCCAGAAGGTTAGTTCTCAGTTCCCACCTTACTCGACTTATCTGTAGCATCCCAGATAGGACAGTATCAGGTGGGTGATGACCACTTACATACTTGTATTACTTTCTTCACTTATCTCCCAAGATACCATACTGATTTTCCTCCCTTTTTAAAAAGCATTTTTTTAATGTTTATTTTTAAGCAAGAGAGGGACAGAGCCTGAATGGGGGAGGGGCAGAGAGAGAGGGAGACAAAGAATCCAAAGCAGGCTCCAGGTGTGGGGTTCAAACTCATGAGCCATGAAATCATGACTTGGCTGAAGGCTGACACTCAACAAACTGAGCCACCCAAGTGTCCCTGATTTTCCTCCTATCTCACTGGCTGATTCTCCTTCCCATTCTTCTGGGCTAGCTCATAGTTTTCTCTTTTTTTAAGTTTATTGGTTTATTTTGAGAGACAGAGAGAGAGAAAGAGCATGCAAGAGAGAGCATGCACATGAGTGGGGGAGGGACAGAAAGAGATGAGAAAGAGAATCCCAAGTAGGCTCCATGCTGTCAGCACAAAGCTGGACACAGGGCTCCATCCCACGAACCATGAGATCATGACCTGAGCTGAAATCAAGAGTCAGAGCCTCAACTGACTGAGCCACCTAGATGCCCCTCACAGTTCTTTTCTATCCATCATCCAGTTGCTAAAGTAACCCGGTGGGCTCAGACTTTTATCTAGCTACACGGTCTTCCGAGCTGATCAAATCTCATAACGCTTTTTAAAACTGCCACGGATTTTTAAATATTGGGAGCAAATGTCTTTTGTTTTTGGTTTTGGGTTTTTTGGCCACTGTCTTCGGGGTGTTGGCCTTACTGAAATAAATTCCTTTCTTGTTTCACCACCACCCATTCTCTGCCTTTGAATTTTCTCAGCAGCCAGTAGCCGAACCTTATGCGTTTGGAACCCCTAGAGCCAAGTGCTTTTTTAACCCTGAGCCCCAGCTATACCCCCATCCCTAATCAAATGATTCTTAAATTTATATTATCTCCAATCCTGATTTCTCCTTTAAGGTATATATTACTAAATCATATCATCTTCTTGTTATTTTCATCTGGAATCCAAAAGGCATCTCAAACTTAACTTCTAGAAAACAGAATACCAAATTCACTCTCTTCATCCTTCTTCCCCATTATGTTACTGGCATGACCATTCATTCAGGACAAAATTTAGTAATTAATCTCGACCCTTCTTTTTCCTTGACATCTCAATATCAACAAATCCAAAAGGAATTCTTATTAAGTCTATCTTTAAAATATATCCTATGGCACCTGGGTGGCTCAGTAGGTTGAGTGTGTCCAACTCTGATTCATGTGTCTGGCTTTTGATTTTCGGCCAGGTCATGATCTCATGGACATGGGACATGAAGCAGAGTCCCTTTGGGCTCTGCACTAGGCATGGAGCCTGCTTAAGATTCTCTCTCCCTCTCTCTCTGCTTCTCCCCTGCTTACACTCTCTCTCAAAAAAAAAAAATACATATATATATCCAAAATATAAACATTTTTCACCACTTTGATTACAGCACTCTAATACCCTAGGGTCCCAGTCACCATCAATAATCACTAGATTATGGCATTAGCCTTCTAACTTGTAACCTTCTGATTCCACTCTTGCTCTCAATAGTCTCTTATTCATAGCCAGAGTGACTTAAAAAAAAAAAAACATTCTAAAAATTGAAAAATGATTATTTAGAACAGAAATGGGAGGAACACCTGGGTGACTCAGTTGGCTAAGCATCTGATTCTTGATTTCAACACAGGTTTGATCTTGGGGTCATGAGTTTGAGCCCCATGGTGGCTCCATTCTGGGTGTGGAGCCCACTTAAAAAACAGAAACTGTGGGGTGCCTAGTGGCTCTGTCGGTTAAGTGTCTGACTTCAGTTCTGGTCATGATCTCATGGTTCATAGGTTTGAGCCCCAGGTCGGGCTCTGTGCTGACAGCTCAGAGCCTGGAGCCTGTTTAGGATTCTGTGTCTCCCTCTCTCTCTGCCCCTCCCCGTTCACACTCTATATCTTTCTCTAAAATAAATAAACATTAAACAAATATTTTAATTAACAAAATAGAATAGCGGTGGGATTCTAGAAATATATTCAAATTCAATAAATTATACAGAACCTAAGTTCTTTCCTGCATGTCTACTAATTAACACAATATTGATAAAATTCATCTCTTTGTAAAATCATACACAATCCAAGGCCAATCAACCTCTTAAACTCTATCTCTCTCCACTTAACCCCTCATCATGCAATGCTATATTGTGCTATAGCTCCAGCAGCCTCTCTGCTTTTCCCTGAACACACCAAACTTACTCTGCCCCAGGATCTTTGAACTTGCTGTTCCCTTTGCCTGGAACATTCTCTTTTCAGATTTTTAACATGGCAATTCACATTGTTCTCATACTTCATTCAACTCTAAACTCAATACCTGCTCATTAAAAAAAAAAAAGTCTTTTTTTAATGTTTTTATATATGTGTATTTTTAATGTTTATTTTTGTGAGAGAGAGAGAGAAAAAGCACGCATACATGCAACCATGAACAGAAGAGGGGTAGAGAGTGGGGGACAGAGGATCCAAAGCAGGATCCAAAACAGGCTCTGCGTTGACAGCAAAGAGCCCAATGTGCAGCTCGAATTCAACAAACTATGTGATCATGACCTGAACCGAAGTCTGACACTTAACTAACTAAGACATCCAGGCGCCTCGAGAAGTCTTTTTTAACTAATACCTCCAAAACAGTCTCCTATCCTCACTGCCCATCACCCTCTATGTCAATACACTGCTTTGTGTTTGTTTATAGCATATACCAGTACCTAAAATTATGTATATGTTTATCTGTCTTCTCCACTAAAATATAACCTAACAGCCAAACTTTGGTCTGCTTGTTCACCACTATAGTCCCAGCACCTAGATCCCTGCCTCACACATATTATGTGCTCATTAAATATCTGTTATGTGTGTGAATAAATAATAACCTGGTAATAGTCTAAAAACTTAAAAAAAAAAAAAGACATACGGAAAAGAAATGGGATTACAGAAATATATCGAAATCCAGTAAGCTACATAGAACCTGAATTCTTTACCTGTTTTGCTGTCTATTAATACAAGACCTTCATTAAAATCAAAAAGATTCTCTCATAATTTCTAGGCAGGTAAATTCTCATGTGCCTATATTTTAAATATAATTTTTGTGTATGGTGTGAGAAAATGATCTAGTTTCATTCTTCTGCATGTTGCTATCCAGTTCTCCCAGCACCATCTGTTAAAGAGGCTGTCTTTTTTCCACTGGATACTCTTTCCTGCCTTGTCAAAGATTAGTTGAATTTACCCAAGGGATACAGGAGTGCTGATGCATAGGAGCACATGTACCCCAATGTTCATAGCAGCAGTCTCAACAATAGCCAAAACATGGAAAGGGCCTAAGTGTCCATCAGCGGACGAATGGATCAAGAAGACGTGGTTTATCTATACGATGGAATACTACACAGCAATGAGAAAGGATGAAATCTGGCCTTGTGTAGCAACATGGATGGACCTTGAGGGTGTTATGCTGAGCGAAATAAGTCAGGCAGAGAAGGACAAATACCATATGTTTACACGTATAGGAGATTAGGAGGAACTTAACGGAGGACCAAGGGGGAGAAGAAGGGGGAAAATAGTTGGGGAGAGGGAGAGGCAAACCATGAAAGACTCTTGAATACTGAGAACAAACTGAGGACTGATGGGTGTGAGGGAGGGAAGGGGGAGATGGACATGGAGGAGGTACTTGTGGGGAGGAGCACTGGGTTATATGGAAACCAACTTGACAATAAACTATTTGTAAAAAATAAATAAATAAATAAATAGATAAATATAATTTACATTCATGTTACAATTCTAGTATTAAATAATATATAAAATGTATTCGAAATCAGCATTTCAACTTCTATACAACTAATTTGCTAGAAATGAAAACCACAATTAGTATCATGTTAAAACAAAATTAAAGGTAAGATGGAGGTATTAGAAAACCTGAACTGTAGGGACGACATTATAAGGAGCTCCACTTATGCTAGGGAAAGATAGGATTCAGTAGGCAGAGAGGGAAAGATTAGGACCTGAAGTCTCAGGGTGGGGAAAAACACATATTTTGGAACAATTCTGGGAGTGTCTGACACAGCAAACCTCCTCACAGGTAAGATTCTACTTAACAATGTAACAGACCGCACCTACTTCCCTCAGGTTTCCCTTAGGAATTTGACAAAAGACCTAACTAGGGCCAAAGGCTACCCCTCATACAATAGAAACGAGCCAATCAGGAATGGAACACCCAGCACCTAGAACTATCAAGCCAGCAAGGGTGGGACCTGAGAGGGAACAGGGAGAAGTAGAAGGCTAACCAAAACCTTATAAAACAAGGACCCTTGCCTATAGTCGGCCAGCATTCACTTTCAAACGCTTACTTTCTGTAAAGAGAGCTTTGTTACTATTCTTACTTTCTAATCTTATACTCTAATAAACGTTTGCCTGCTACTCGATTGTGTCCACCTCTTCATTCTTTGAAATGGTGAGACAACGAATCCCAGGTATTGAGGTAAATAAAAAGTCCTGCCACACACTGACCTGATCCCCAGCAAAACTGGTAAAAATTATAAAAACAACTAAAGCCCCTGGAAATGGCCCTTAGGACAAACAATGAAGGAAGAAACATCTATTCAAGAAAATTGAAAATTGAGTAAAAAAGGCTGGAGTCTATGGTACTTGCATGAAAACCACTCCTTTCCTCCCCTCTTCCAGAGCAGAGAGGGTGGTTCCACTCTTGACTGTTGGAACCAAGGACCCAGGACTCCTTCCTTTTGTAGTTCCCATTCGGAGGGCTTTCTTCCCACAGGAGCAGGACTTCAGCACTTCTCAGCTTCTTCCAACTGTCTGTTGCTGAGAAGGCTAAGCCCAGGGTAAGTGTGGATAGAGAAGCACAGTTCCTTTCTTGCACCCAGCCTCCACTCATGGAATGGAGGCTCCTCCTTGTGTATGAATGTGTTACGAATACTGGGGGCCCAACAGCCCTCCCCTGGCTCAGTGCTTCCTGAGCCAGAAGACATGGGGATCTCAGCCTACTGCCCCATCTCAACCCTAGGGCTCAGCTCCTAAAAAATGAGGATGTTACTCAGAAGGTCACCATAGTCCTCACTCCCAACTCAAGGGCCCTGGCTCAGAAATTTTGCCTACAGTCATTCCAGGGTGACTGTAGGCAAAATGACCAGAGCAACAACAGAGACAATATTGTGTGCTGGGGAAAAGGGGTGGAGGTGGTGGGATAGTGGTGGCAGAAGAATGGCCTTCACTAAAACAAATCCAGTCATTCACTCAAAAATAAACAAGCAAAATAACAAGCCTTAGAAAGGAGGACCAGTATCTAAAACGACTATAACTTGTTACCTAAAATCTAAAATGTTTACTTTCCAATTAAAAAAAACTGTAAGAAATCAAAGAAACAAGAAACTATGACCCATATATGGGAAAACAGACAACAGAAACTGCCTCTGACAGTGAGTAGATGCTGGACTTAAGAGGAAAAGATTTCAAAATAGCCATCATAAATATGTTCACAGAACCAAAGCAAAGTAAGGGAAAGTATGATAACAATGTCATATCAAATAGAGAATATCAATAAAGAGAAGTTTTTTTTAAAGAACCAAACGTAAATTCTGGATACAAAATGTATGATAACAAAAACAGAAGAACTGTAGGATACAGAAAGAGCCTCAGATTGCAAAAAAGGCCCCTGATCCTAAAGGGCCAATGTGTGTTCTTACTACAAATCCACTCTACTAAATCTGTGTCTCGTGTACTTTTTTTAAAATTTTTAAAAATGTTCTTAATGTACTTTTTTTTAAAGCCACAGCTTTCAATAATAAAAGTAATTAACTCAATCCTATAATTTAATGGTGTTCTATATGCTACTTCTTGAATGACATTCATTCTATACATATTTCGTGTTTCTTTTTTTTTAAAAGGTGGTACTATAAATAACAGGTTAACTCTCAAATCTTTAATAATAATAATATGAAAAATCTTACTGGTCTGACGTCACCAGAAGAATTGGTAAATTGTCGAGCCAAGCCAAAATCAAGCATGTAACATTTCCTACATGTACTAGGAAAGCGACCCATGGCGAAGTTTGACTAGAAAAGCAGAGAAGGAAAATAGATTCTTTTAAAACTTAGTCTTTACATCTTACCATTCCTATACTTTAACTCTTCAACTTAAACTCTATATAATACATATGTCCCAAATATACTATTCTAATCGATGATGTTTGCAGGATACTAATACATAATCTCATTGTGGATTCTATTAATGCCCAGGATCAGGTAACTTTGAGCAACAAAGAATTAAATTGAGAGTATAAAGTTACATACAACATAACACTGACTTAAGTGGAACTCAAAAACCTTGAAATTCTAATCTAAGTCAGTGCTTTAACGACAGTCCAATTCTTCCTTTTTAAAATGGGAGGAGCTATGAGTAAGCAAATTTGAATATATGGCTAGGAATTTAAATGAAATTCCTATAACCATCACAAAGCTGAATTTCACCAAGTACAAAAATTAAAATTCAATTTAAGGAAACATTTCAAAACAGACTTAAGGAAAATAAACTTTGCATTCTTCCCTTAAAAAAATAAATGTAATGTTAAATGAGCACAGACATGCAAAAATGGTATGTAAAAAGGGAATTTATAAAGGAAAAAGCAAAACTGCTACAGAATTGTTAGCTTTTACTTTAAATACTGTTCCATTTAAGGAGCTTTCAGTCACCATGCTTCTCAAGTAGTGACATTTAGTGTAGCATAGAAATAAGAAGAGAAAAAAAAATCTGCATTACATTTCAAGTCTGACTCTACTAATGTTAATTTTAGTTGGCATTTTCATGTAAACCATTTAATTTTAGAAATCATGTAGCCACAGATGGGTGTAATTTTCAACTGCACTAACCAATACATGATATATTTATAGTAAATACAGTATATCAGAAATGGATCATTCCCCCTTGTGAGCAATAAAAAAAGCATATTTCAGTTGTGGAAATAACAATTTCTAAGAAAAAGTAGAATTGAAAAAAATACTATATACTGCCAACACAGCACTCAGAGAAAAAAAAAATAAGGCCTTTCACAATTGGTGGTTTCTTGCAAGTACAATTTGTCACTTGAGAAATAATTCAAAGAACGAGATGCCAACATCTAAAAGCAACATATGTATATTTTTCGCCAGTATCAGGAAAAAGAATCTAAAGAATAACTACCAACTGAGATGTAAGGCTACATAACTAGGAATATTAGCACACATTACTACAGTCAAGTACTAATAATTTTTAATTTGGCTATGAACAACATTTTCGTTGTATGAGAAAAGCTCTTGAATATAAGTGGTAGTTTGTAATTATAATTTTTTTAAGATTAAAAGGCAAGTTACATTTTGCTTCTAGTTAAAGAAATTAAAATATTACTTTGTATTTAATAATAGAAAGCAAATAAAGCTACACTTATAATTTATTGTGTCCCATCATCAGATGAAGAGTACAAAGCAAACTCAGTCTGTGCTCAGACTTGAAAAGGCCCCTTACTGGTTTGATGTCTCGGTGCAAGAATCCCACGGAATGGATGCTCTCAATAGACTCCAGAATCTGTCTCCCCAGCCTAAGAGTAGTGCTAATGGTGAATGTGCCCCGGGATTGGCTACGGCGTAGATCTGCCAGATTCCGACCCTGTGAAAACCAAATCAACACTGTCACATATGGTGCTGTTTATAAGAGAAGACTGGAGAGCTATTCGTTTACTATTAAAAATGTTTTGACAGAAAGAGCAAGGATTTTACCCAAACCACAATCCTCACATTCAAGAGAAGAGAGTCCATTAAAATACATGAATATTAATGTTCATAGCAGCACTCTCAACAATAGCCAAAACATGGAAAGAGCCTAAGTGTCCATCAACGGACGAATGGATCAAGATGTGGTTTATCTATACCATGGAATACTACATGGCAATGAGAAACAATGAAATCTGGCCATGTGTAGCAACACGGATGGGTGTTATGCTGAGCGAAATAAGTCAGGCAGAGAAGGCAAACAAATATCATATGTTTGCACGTATAGGAGGATCAGGAGGAACTTGATGGAGGAACAAGGGGGAGAAGAAGGGCGGAAATGGTGGGGGAAAGGGAGAGAGGCAAACCATGAGAGACTCTTGAATGCTGACAGAAATTGAGGACTGAAGGATGTGGGGGGGAGGGGGGATGGGCATGGAGGAGGGCACTTGTGGGGATGAGCACTGGGTGTTGTGTGGAAACTAATTTGACAATAAACTATTTGTAAAAAAATAAAAAATAAAAAATAAAACTTCTGCACAGTGAAGGAAACAATCATCAAAAAAAAATACATGAATGTTTCAGACACATTTAAGAATAACCAGAAGTTTTTGAACATACTGTGTTTTTGAGTCATCATCGTGTTGCTCTTTGTCTTTCATGCCATAACAAAATATAGTTTAAATATACAAAATATAGGTATCAGAGCAGTAATTCCTCATTACTGCCTAACATATTCCCATACAAACTACTTAATTTTTCTGTGTCACAGTTTTCTTATAAAGCCGAAATTATTAAACAAGATACATGTGAAGTCTTGAGAATACTGCCTGGTACACAATAGGTACCCAGTAAATGCTAATTACTGTTATTAGGAACAAAAATGACATGATGCAAACACTCAATTACTTATAGTAATAGATAAAAACAGTGAATATATCTGGCCTGTGCAAGATGTGATACATTTCTGACTGCATTTAATGGTCACAGCCTCCTAAAATAGAAAATGTTACAGATGAAGAAAATAAGGCTCAGAAGTTTAAACAGTGTTAACCTACTAAGATAAAGTTGTTTTTCAAACCGAAACCTGTTTGAATTCAAAGTTGTGGGGGGGTTTTGTTTGTTTTGTTTTTTTACTTCACAGTGCTGCTCCACCCAGAAAGTTCTCTGTTGCCTAGGTAACAAACCAATAATTTGATGAGAAGAGTAGGGCTACAGTTGCTGTGTTCTACCACCCCAAGAATGGAAACTGGCTTCTTCATCACAAGGGAATTTAAATATCCCGATCTATCTATTCCCAAAACTTTGTAGTATATGCTTGAGATTAATACCATCACTTCAACTAAAGAGAGTTGATTCACTTTTGAAAAAGTAATAAATTCTTAAATTACTTAAGTACCACTTAAAATAGTAAGGGAGCATGAGAATCCCAAACAGGCTCCATGCTGTCAGTGCAGAGCACGACAGAGAGCTCAATCTCATGAATCTGAGGTGAAATCAAGAGTCAGACACTTAATCAACTGAGCCACTCGGGCACCACAGTTTCTATGTTATAGAGAAAAAATGAAAATAATCTATATGTCTATCAATAAATGTAAGGATTTTTTTAATTTTTAAAAATGTTTTATTTATTTCTGAGAGAGAGAGAGACAGCATGAGCAGGGGAGGGTCAGAGAGAGAGGGAGACACAGAATCTGAAGCAGGCTCCAGTACTGACAGCTCAGAGCCCAATGTGGAAGTCGAACCCACAAACCATGAGATCAGGACCTGTGCCAAAGTCGGACGCTTAACCAACTGAGCTACTTAGGCACTCCAATAAATGTAAGGTTTAATAAACTGTGGTAAACTCATCTTACTGGCTGGTATACAGCACTAAAAAACAATGAATCTTGGGATACCTGGGTGGTTCAGTCAGTTAAGCATATGACTTTGGCTCAGATCATAATCTCACGATTCATAAGTTTGAGAATCAAGTATTCTTTTCTTCTATTTACTGCCCTTCCTGTATAAAATGTATCTCAGGTAACCAAATAATTGGTGGAGTGCTATTTATTTATTTGTCTGCCTATCTATCTATCTATCTATCTATCTATCTATTTATTTTTAAGTAATCTCTATACCCAGTGTGGGACTCCAACTTACAACCCCAAGATCAAGAGTAGCATGTTCTACCAACTAAGCCAGCCAGGAGCCCCAGGTGGAATGCTTTTTGAAGAATTCCAGCTAACAAATTAAGAAAAATAGGATAGTTCATTTGCAGTCTCACTAAAGTAATGAATCTAGGCAATAATCACTAATGGGTTTTTAAAACCTAAGAGAAAAACCACTGGGAATTTTAAAAAGGATGCATCAGGCTGACAGTCCCTGAATCTGATTGATCAATTCTAACATTACTAAAAACAGACAACCCAGACATTGCCCACTTATGTGATACAACAGGAAGCCTACAATTCACCTCTTAAGTACCGTGGCCAAATAAAACAAAAGTGGAATCTGATCTAATCACCTGGTTATAGAAAATACAGGGGACAGAAGAACATGTTAGATAAGGAGAGGGACAAACAGCTAACTCCAGAATATGAGACCTTCATAACAAATGATTCCATTTTTATCAATGACAATGAAAACAACTATAAAAACTGTAAGAAAAATTGAAAGTGAACCTATAGAGTAAAAGAAGCTTAAGAATTATATCCACCAAATGCAATCTGTGGAACTCTGTCTGAAACCAGATTCAAGTAAACCAAATATAAAAAATAAAAGAGAAACAATCAAGAAATCTGAAAATTGTCTATGAAGGAACTATTGTTTTGTGATTAAGAGGAGAAAAAAAAGGAATCTCTGACTCTTAGAGTACATATTTACATATTTCCACATAAAATATGCCTTCAGTTTGATTTGACATAGTCTGGGGATGAAGAGGAGAGGGAGCTGATTTCGGCTCAGATCATGATCTCATGGCTCATGAGCTTGAGCCCCGTCCTGGGCTCTACGCTGACAGCGCAGAGGCTGCTTGGGATTCTCTGTCTCCTCTCTCTGTCCCTCCCAACTCTCTCTCTCTGTCTTAAAAATAAACACATTTAAAAAGACTCATTTTAATAGTAATTGGCTAGGGGCGCCTAGGTGGCTCAGTTGGTTGAGTGTCTGGCTTCAGCTCAGGTCATGAGCTCGCGATTCGTGGGTTCAAGCCCCACATCGGGCTCCGTGCTGACAGCTCAGAGCCTGGAGCCTGTTTCAGATTCTGTGCCTCCCTCTCTCTCTCTGCCCCTCCCTTGCTCATGCTTTGTCTTTCTCTGTCTCAAAAATAAATAAACTATTAAAAAAATTTTAGAAAATAGTAATTGGCTAGATTTTCTACAATAGACTTAGGATTATTACCTAAAAATTTTAAGGCAGATATAATATAATTGAATCACCAAGAGGAAAAGCATACTTAAGAATTAATGAACTTAGGGTTTTTAGAAGAAATTAAAAGTGCCAGTGAAAAGCTGAGAATCTAAATTTTATCACAATATACACAGGGAAACCTTGTAGTTATCTTCAATCTGTCACCTAAGAAAGAATACCCTCTCATAATTATACCAGTGTTAGCCTAAATCAAGTCAATCATAACTATACAGAATGGGGGGGGGGGGGGTTAATGGTAGATTAATTTTCTTATGACAGAAAAAAAATACAGCATGCAAGTCAAATGGAAAGGTTTTTAGGTAAGTCCAGAAGAGCTTGCCAAAGGCCAAAAGGCCATTGTTATCTGATACACAGCAATCTCCTTAGTCTTGCCAGACTAACAGCCTTCCCATTTCCAGAAAGTGAGATTTAAATAACTGCAAAAAAAAAAAAAAAAAAAAAGTACGCTTAAGTAACATAAAAATGAGTATGTGCTAAGACTGAGAGATTCTACAGACTGAGAAAGCTTCGATCCAAATTCTCTACTTCCAGTAGTAAACTAAAAACAAAATGAAGAGTTTTCTCTAATTATGCCAAGAATATTGGCCTCAGGCTTCCACAAAGGTCTAACATCTAACAAATTAGTCAGTTCCCAGGCAAACCACAAAACTCCTTGAGCTTCAGTCCCTTAACTTGCAAAATGGGGATAAAACCTCCTGTCTTATCTTCTCCAGGGGGATATGGTAAGGATCAAATAAGGTGTATAATAAATCCAGAAGAAAACTATACACTATCATACCAAAAAGTTAGATTATTAATAGCCAAAGTGAGAGAAGGAGGGTCTACACTAATGACCTCAAAAGTTACAAGGTTAACTACTTCAAGAAATAAAACAATGCTGGCTCAAGAGACAGTGAATCACATGACTCAAAGACTCTATGGCTATACTTACAGAGACTTAATATCTTTAGATCTAACTCAAATGCTGAAGGACAGCTGAGGGAAATAAGAAAAGCATTCTGATGAGTAGAGAAAGCATTCAGGCTAGGATTTACTATGTCTCTGAAATCACTGCTGCACAGTTAAGCTGAAAGAAAACAAAAGAACCCAATGTCCATAGAAAATTTTGCTAAAGATTAAAGGAAACTCTGATAACTCTAAGTTAGGCAGTAAGGTAAACCATAGCTTTTACACTTTGAGATTGAATACAGTTCAGCGGTGTGTGTGTGTGTTTGTGTTCAAGGGCAGAGGTAGTCGTCAGAGAGAATGGGCAGGTTTCCTTCTTCTCCTTGCTGTGATCATTACTCCAAAATTCCCTTTCTGAATTTCTTTCCTCTCCTGCCCAACCCAACTCCACTCTCTGCCTAATGAATGATAAAAGAAAAAGGAATGCATTTCTCCTCTGTATCAACTAATGCTTAATTTTCAAGCAAAGTTAGTACTTGAGCACATAAATTAAAAACTAGAGTCCTAACGGTAATAAAGACAGGAAGAGGAAGGGACAGGGACAGGCCAATACTCAACATTATATCCAGCAATCCATGTAGGGATTGAAAAACTTTGCAATGACAAGTCAGTGAAGATATGGATCAACTAAAATAGTTGACAAGAACAACCTTTTCATCGTTGGAAAAATCTACATCAAATCTGTTTAAATAAAATTCCATACAAGGAACGCCTGGGTGACTCAGTTGGTTAAGCGTATGACTTTGGCTCAGGTCACGATCTCATGGTTTGTGTGCTGAAGCCCTGCATCAGGCTTTATGCTGACAGCTCAGAGTCTGGAATGGAGCCTGCTTCAGATTCTGGGTCTCCCTCTCTCTCTGCACCTCTCCTGCTCACAATCTCTCTTTGTCTCTCAAAAATAAATAAACATTAAAAAAATTCCATACAAAAAAAATTCCATCTGCATAATATAAAACATTCTGAGATGATGATACCAAGAATTTTCTTTTATCCATATACACTAAAATTAGGTAGGCTGATCAAAACTGAAGTATTTTAAGATACATTTTCAAAGTAACCTACCTGCAACTGCATGACCACATAGTTGAATCGATCATTCCTCCCACAGCCAATAAATCTACAAACATGGTCTTTCCCTGGATAATAGAAAGAAAAGAAAAAATAGAAAACAGTAGAAAAGGTTATACTATGATTTCTCTTCTAAAAATTCATAATTTGTTTTTCTGTATAGTATTTTATAATTGAATACAATGGACCTGTCTTAAGAACCTTAATAAGAAGAAATCTGTATTATTTAAATTTTCTACCTACCTCCCCCTGGACTCTACACTGCTCCTTGTGTAGTCAAATAAATGTTTATTGAATGATAATTTATTTAGGAAGTAAAGAATTAAAAGGTCATTTCAGGTCAAGTTGCCCAGACATTATACATATTAAAACAGAGAAGAGCAATAAATAAGAACTATGTTAGGAATATAAATCCTGAATTTTAGAAATGGTCTGCCATTCATCAATATATGATTTCAATCATTTAATCACTTAATCTTTCTGGACCTCACTGATTTGGATTATTTCAGTAGCTTTCAACCTGAGTTCCATCTGTGAAACCCAAGGAGGTGCTGGCTAGGGTACTGAGAAAGCAGAAGTGGAGCAGAAAGAAATCTAAGGTTCTCCCCTGATTCAACAAAAGCAAACAAAGGTCCTAAAAAAAGGATCAAGTCTGGAGGGTTCCAAGGCCACTGGAGTATAGTGAATGAATGGAGAACAGCATGAGAAGATGCTTGAGAAGCAGGAGGCATGAGACCCTGAAAGGTCTCCATGATAAGGAAAGTGAAAGACATTTATAAGGTCAGTGTTTACCAGTCCACGCTGCTGATAAAAATCATCTTGGGAAGATTTTTAAAGATTCCTAAACTCTATACTGATTCATAATTGATGGGGGAAGTTACAGGATAGGATCTTTTCAAAAATCCTCTAAATGATTCAAAAGCAGATGGGCCATGGATGGACATATGAAATCTACTGCTGGGTAAGGAGAAGCATCTAAAAGATTTTAAAAGGTGGCTAGATGGCTCAGTAGGTTGAATGTCTGACTCTTGATTTGGGCTCAGGTCATGATCCCCAGGGTCATGGGAACAGTTCCTTTGTAGGACTCTGCACTGACTGAGCATGAAGCCTGCTTGGGATTTTTTCTCTCTCTTCCTCTGCCCCTTTCTCCCACTCACTTGCACACTCTCTCTAAAAATAAAAAATAAATACATAAAAAGTAAAAGATTTCAAGATGAGGGAAAACACACTTAAACACTGTACTTTAGAACACTGCTATGGTGGCAATGAGGAGGATAGTCTACAGACAGGTTACTTCCAGAAGTAAAGGTCATTCTGGGGATAGTTACAATATCCCAAGAGCGAGAACAGGGTTTAAATTATAAGTATTACAGTAGAGATAGAAAAAAATGAGATAAATATGAGAGATACTAAAGACCATTTTTGACTAGAAATTGGTACAATTAAATGATAAGTTGTACCAAAATAAGAGAATATATAGGCTGTAGAGACTATATGGAATATCAGAATGTTGAGTTTAAGGAAAACCTGTTGAATTCAGCAGACAATTGTAATCTGAAGCCTGTTGCTGAGCTACAGAAATATACTGGGGCACCATTAGTTCGTGGAAGGTAGATGGAACTACAAACATAGATGGACAGGTGACAAGTTGGAAGAATAAAGAATGATAAAATTAACCTAAGAATGGAATTTTAGAAGATGCAACATTTAGGGGATAGGCAAAAATTAAAGAACGCATGAAGGAAATCAAGTAATAGCCAGAGAAGTATGAGGAAACTATGAGAAAGGGGTATTACAGCTATATAATGAGAAGAGCATGTTAAGGCAGAAGTGGCCAATGGCAAATGCTATAGGAAGGCTGAGAAGAGTGGGGCGCATGGGTGGCTCTGTCAGTTAAGAGTCCGACTTCGACTCAGGTCATGATCTCATGGTTCCTGGTTTTGAGCCCCATGTCAGGCTCTATGCTGAGAGCTCAGAGCATGGAGCCTGCTTCAGATTCTATGTCTCCCTCTGTTTGTCTCTCCCTGACTTGTGCTCCATCTCTCTCTCTCTCTCAAAAAAAAAAATGAATAAACATTTAAAAAAAGAAGAAGAAAGGCTGAGAAATGCTGATTAATATAAAAAATTTAAGAAGTCAATGATGGGTGGAAAGGGCAGCAGCCAGCCTTTAATGGATTGAAGTATAAATGAAGTATGAGATAGCCAGGGCTATCTTTGAAGAAGCTTGCTTACATTATAAAGTAAGTCACACACCCAGAGCTATAAGGGCAAGACTTGGTAGATATGTTACAGATGAGTAATATATGTCAACATTCAAAAAAACCTATCTACTGGCTGGCTTAAAATATAAATACAGGGGCACCTGGGTGGCTCAGTCAGTTAAGCGTTTGACTTCAAGACAGGTTATAATCTCATGGTTCGTGGGTTCAGCCCTGCATCAGGCTCTGTGCTGACAGCTAGCTCAGAGCCTGGAGCTGGTCTTCAGATTCTGTGTCTCCCTCTCCTGCTCATGCTGTCTCTATCTCTCTCTCAAAAATAAATAAAACATTAAACAACTTAAAATATATACATAAATACAACCTAGACTTCTTTAAGTTAGTAATTCAACTTCTTTTGCTTCTCGGTTATCACACTATTTTCTCATTATCTCTGCTTTTGTTGAAAAGGGCTGGAACTAGCAAGAAATGAGTGAAAATGGGAGCAATAATTCCCAATGCATACAATGCTGTTAATCACTTTTCATGTATGTTACAAATGTTTGCAAAACTGTGTCACCTAGTAAATTAAAGAAGGAATAAAAGGATAAAACGATGGTCAATTAGCAACTTACACTTTCCCTCAGCTTCAAAGGAACAATTAAAATATCATTTAGGAAGTATTTTCTTCTTGTTTTCCATTCTTCAAGATTCCATCTTCCTAGCATATTACAACTTAAATGATAGATTTCTAGTACAAACACATTTCAATCATCTAAAAACAGAAGGCCATACTATATTTAACTCTTTTTGGGATGCTCTTTCAAAAATATCTTATTGGTATGCTACACCAAAATACTATTTATCTCTCAATAGTGAAACCATCCTACTTTTACAAAGAAAAAGGACAGAAATCAAATAAATGGTAGACTCTTTACTAAGAAACCAAAATACAAAGTCAACAGCAAATTTTCTGGGATTCACCGATATATCTTCATTGCTTTAGGTAAGAGCTTAAAGAATTCTTAACTCATACTTTGGGAACAGTATACTACTGTTCTTATATTTTAGATGTATACAATTAAGGAAAATCCTTAATAAAGTTAGTTCAGTAGATACATACAAATTTTTAGAAGCATGGAGAAACTCCAATTTAATGGAACAGTAATTCTTCACCACCACTTAGAATATGAAAATAACTATTGTAATAACTAGTACAAACTAAGATATCACTCCGTAAGTACAAGGACCCTATCTATCTTGTTTTGGTCGCTAGCACAGTACCTGGTAAACAGTGAAATGCCCAATCAGTATCTTTAAATAAACAAATAGTTATAGATAATAAAACATTCATAATATGCAAGCATATTGTGCCAGGCATTATATTAAGTGCTTTACATGCATTTAATCCTCACAGCTTAAGTATTATTTTCCCTATTTTTTGGATGTGAATTAAGAAAAATAATCTCTAAAAATGAGGGGGCTGGCGTAGGCTATACTTGAGGAGAATGTTATAATTCAAAATCATTCCTGTGGAGAAAAGGAAACATGGACAACCAGTTTGAAAAGCACAGACCTAACACACTATCATGTGGATAAGAGTCCTGAGTAGACTCTAGATACCAGGACTATAGCAGTCTTTATGGTAACTTAGGCAGTGTACAAGATCATATTTAGTTGGTAAGCAAACAAACAAAAAAAAGAGAGAGAGAGAGAGAGTCCTACACTATGCACTACTAGGTCTGATCATGACTCCACATTCACAAAAATAGTTATTCAACTTCACACACAATGAGAATAGAGGAGAGGTCCAGAAATATTACAGAAACAACTCAAAGTCCTTAGGTAAACCATTTTATAAACTTTTAAGAACTCCCAGTATAAAAGACATCTAAATAATAATTTTTAAATATTTTATTTGTAACTAATCTCTGCACCCAACATGGGGCTTAAATTCAGGACTCCAAGATCAAGAGTTGCACAGTCTCCCAGTTGGGCAATCCAGACACCCCCACGACTCTAAATAATCTTTTTCTTTTTAAATTTATTTATTTGTTTGGGAGAAACAGAGACAGTGCAAGCGGGGAGGGGGCAGAGAGAGAGGGGAAGAGAGAATCCTAAGCAGGCTCCACACTGCCAGCACAGAGCCCAACGTGGGGCTCAAACTCATTAAACCGTGAGATTATGGCCTGAACCAAAACCAAGAGTCGGACACTTAACCAACTGAGCAACCCAGGTGCCCTGACATCTATATAATCTTAATAACACTACTGTAGAGCAGGACTATCTTGTGTATGAATAATAACCAAGCCAATCCTCATTTGATTCCTACCTAATTTCCATAGATTCTCATAACTGTACATAAAGGTACCAGAATATAATAGATATATAAACTTAATTTCAGCATCTTCAGGCTATACTGCTTATGTTTGTACTCTAGTACACAGCTCTGCACAGGATACATACTAAATAGACAAAGAATATGTTTTTATAATACCTTGATTGAAACATTAACATACCACAAAATTCACCCATCTAAAGTATAATTCAACTGTTTTTAGTTTATTCACAAAGTTGTACAACCATCGCAAGAATCAGCATTAGAACATCTTCATCAGCCCTACCCCACCCCACCAAAAACCCCATGCTCATTAGTTGTCACTTCTAGTTCCCCCTGAAACTCTTCCCAAACCCTACGAAACCATTAATCTACCTTCAGTCTCTGGTACATTCTGGACATTTCACATAAATAGAATCATACAATAAGTTGTGTTTTGTGACTGGCTTCTTTCACTTAGCATAATGTGTTCAAAACTCATCCATGTTGTTGCATGTATCAATATTTCATTTCCTTTCATTGTCAATAATATTCA